GTTGAATGGAGGGGATAAAATGGCAGGAAGAGTCACTTTTTTTATTAAATTCGGCCACAAATAAAGCCTAGAGTCGGTTCTCCAATAGGTTCCTCCAAAAACTCTTCAAAAGGCGTCCAAATTCGTCAAATCTTTAGAAATCGACATTGGCGTCGTCGGCGCCCATTCTAGCGTCATCGGCGCCAGTGTCCCGCAATTTAATTCGTCCTCTCTATCAAACGGCGTTGTCGGCAATGCTTCTGGCGCCGTCGGCGCTGAACAAATATAAACTTCATCATTTTTGCTCCAAATTTCATCCTTTTTGTTTTAAGTCCTAAAATTTAACAACCTGCAAGAAAACATACAAATATCTTCCATTAAAGTGCAATAGCAAAAAAAATGAGTATAAAATATAGGTCTAAAATCCATATATTTTTTTGTATCAGTTACAGAGGCAGAGTTTGAGTTGTGTGAGTTATGGGCATGTGGACCGTATTTTTGAGTTGTGATGTCATTCGCAGGCCATCGAGCCTTAATTCGGGAACTACAATAACATCTGTAAGCCACAGAGGCTGGTGATGAGAGTTGCCAAGCCATGAGACATGTAGACCATAATGGTGAGTTGTTATTACATTTGTAAATTGCAAGAGTCAAAATCGAGTGTCACGTGATTTGTGGATTACATGGGTCATAATTGGTCACGCATGTCATATTAGTTAGTTGTAATAACATCCATATGTCATAGAGCTTAGGAGTTGTGTGAGTTGTGAGCCACTTAGTCATAGTTGGTCTTGTAGGATATATTGGTGAGTTGAGACGGCACTTAGTCATAGCTGGTCTTGTAGGATATATTGGTGAGTTGAGACGGCATCCATAGGTCGTAAGGGTCAGAATCGGGAGTTGCACAAACTATAAGCCATATAGCTCGTAGTTGGTCACATAGGTCGTGGTGGAGAGCTACATTGTACTTGGGTGCATCGTAACTGCGTCTTTGGGGTGCATCGCAACTCCATCTTCAGGATGACGTCGTTAGACCTTCTTCGGGGTGTGTCACTCTATCATTCAGTCCTTCATTACCTTGCAATGTATGTCAAGATTCCACGACTAATGTCGTTGTTCTGCATGAAGTTTCATTGCAAAAAGCAGGCAGCGAGCGATGGTGATCGATTACGGTCAAGGAGCGGTGGTCAACGATGATAAGCAAGTGAAGAATGACAATGGTTAGTGGTTGTAGAAGCTAGAAACTAGAAGCGTTTGTCAGATCTTCAGCGCATAAACGACACTAGCTTCAGCTCCTTCTCTCGGTCCTTCTTCACGCCAAGGCCTCAGTCCATATCCTACATTAAGAAATGTGTATGGGTCTATTTATAAACTATAGGAGAGAAATCTCTACAAAGAAAGAATGAATCCACACCACTCAAAGAGATGCCCTGGAGAGGTTCCATCGATCGGGCAACGTTCTATGGACATTTATGTGCCTTTGGTTTTGTCTTATCGAAACACTCAATTTGACCATAAGTCTGTTAGATTTTTTAATTGTTTGACCTCTCAATTGGTCCTCAAAAGCTTCAAATATGGTTTAACGGTTTGATTTGACTCAATTTTGGTAAAAGTTAGCGTCATCGTGTTCTTCTCGCCAATCTGGTCAGTTTGACTGTAACTTTGTTGAAATCAAAATTTTTTATGATTTTTAGCTGAAATTAAAATATTTCAAGCTCAATAAATTACCTCGAGATTCATGTCACGCCTCGAGATCCGTGTTAAATGATGAAAATTTGTTAATGACGTATCAATTGCCCTCCCCTTTTTTGGTGATACTAATTTCATCAAAAAAGATACTAAATTCTTGACTATATATATATATATATATATATATATAACACATATCAGAAAACTCACAAGGATGAAAGGTGGAGCACAAGATGAAACATCTGACTCACAAATCTTTCTAAGGACTTGCCCGGATGTTGAATTTCACAAAAAAAGTTGATGTGACAAACTCTTCTTATAATCAATAAAATTAATTATATCGTCACTAATATTATTTATTTATAGTGATAATATGTCACTAATATTATTTATTTTTTTGTGATAATATAACAATATATTGACGGACATTATAAATGCCCATGTGATACTTGTTTAAAAAAAATGATAGTTATTAATTAACAATCCTAAGAACCAACACCATCACAACTACTTCAACATGGAAGTCTTGAACTCCTCATATTCTATTACACCATTCCTTATGAGTATGTATATCCAAAAGTGTGTTTCTTTAAGCAATAGAGAAGCCAAAATACTAAATGGGTCTAATGGGGTTAATAGATCAAAACCATAAATGATAAGGTTCATTGTACTCGTTAGTTGTATATTTAAAGGTGACAAGCTACATAATTTCATGGAGCTTAAAAGGACCCCTCATGTATCACCAAAGCTTGTTAGCATTTAGGCGAGTTCCTCCAACCCGGCTCGCTAAGCTTAAACCTTCAGGCGAGCTCATCAAGATGAGCTCACTCATATTTTTTGACTTCTTATAAGCTCGCTTGTACTAGTCAAATCATCCTCTCAAGCTCGCTGATAACTACATAATTGTATCATGCAGCTTGGTCAACGGTTCTTCGAGGAAGAAGAAAGAAAACTCCACTCCACATCAAGTTTGTGATCATTTATTGGCCCCTGGCTCTCATACCAAAGATATTGTCAACAAAAAAGTCTACCCGGGCACCGTATCGTACAACTTATAACGTAGTTTTTTAATACATTCCATAGACCGTCATGTAGGCACATAGACTCTATGTTGTAAAAATATGAAGTAAAAATGAGAGAAGAAAAAAAGAAGATCCGACTCTAGCTCTCTCTCTCTCTCTCATTGTATCTCTAAAAATTCCTCGGCTTCCTTTCATCTCTTTCACAAGGTCTCCCGAATTGCATGAGTTCACGGATTATACAAGATCATACATCATAAAAGGATTCAACATAAAATAAAGCATTTATTTTACAATAATTATACAAAAATGTAATATGTTTATCTTTATTGTTAATTTTAATTTGATTAATCAATTTTAGTCAACCACTACAAATTAATATCAATGTATTTTAATATTTTTTTAACCGACGATGTTGCTCTCAAACCATGATGAAAATAGTCGAGAAAATTATTGAAAAAAAATATGTTGTGCCCCCGCTTTGAAAATTTTTTTGGCTTTGTCGCAAGGATCAACACGATGACGATTAGGAGAGCATGGAACCCTCATAACATGTACGACTTTTATAGTGGCCCTATGGCATTTGGTTATTCGAGTGGCTACAACACCTCTTATATTTGGAGTCATTTTAAACAACTAAAATTTAAACAAAATTAAAATATACTAGGTAACCATTTAACAATGATTAGAAGACTTCTCTTCATAATACTAAGAAGACAAGTGAAATTGAATATAAAGATAGACTCTGATACCGCTCAAATTCTCATCCTATGAGATATTTCTACTTTGGGCTAGCACCTCACCATTTTGTCATATTAGTGCAACTTCCTAAGACGTCACATATCCCAAGATTGCTCCCGCATGAGCAAGCTTAACGTCAAAGTTTATGCTCCAAATGTTACACTAAAAGATGTCTCAATCAAAGTTCAGCTTCATTCTATTTAAGGGATTTCACACCAATAACATCGATGAATACAAAAGCAAATGAAGTTCAGGAAAATATCATCGTTGCACTGACACCACGCTCACTCTCATTAACAATAAGGCGTCGCAGGTTATGACAAGCAGGTCCTCAGCAGCCTCAAGCTTCTCAAATGAGCAACTCCAACTTTTTCTTGCCAAAACATTCCACTTCTCCGACCGCACAACCAACATTCAAAATTGTTTTTTTGTCGAATTAGTTAACAATGTGGCTTTGATATCAAGTGATAGAATTGGTGTCTAACATATTCGGCAACTTTTGAACACAAAACTTCCATATTTCATGCAATCTTGACGTCATGCAACACACCTTGGAATCTTTCGTAAGAGAGAAGTGAATTAAACATCGATAAAGAATGTAAATACGATTTTACCTTTTAAAAACTAAATTAATGATATTTTCATGTAATATGAAAGATTTGTAATATAAATATAAAAATAAAAGTAAGCTGTGTTATTTATGTAAATATATAGAAATTGAGCGGTATATATTTTAATGCCCATACTTAATATAGAAGGGGCAGAGAACAAGACCTAGCCATGCAAAGTAGCCAAGAGTTGAAGCTAGGAAAAATGTTCAGCTAATGCTGTTAAATCTGGGTTGGGAAGTTGAGAGCAGCAAAAGGAATCAAAATCATGATGGAAATATGATCCAAAATGCCAAAAAATGAAGCTTATACAAAAAGTTATATTTATATGTCCACATCCCTGTTGTAGAAAGTAAATGTCCTGTATGTTAGATATTATAGACGTCTATTATTTTACCCTACTTAAAGAGTAATTTTGTCTTCTTATTTATTATATAATATATATATATATATGTATGTATCATTTACTCTTGTAAGTTGTTCTTTGGTTAATGCAATTGAAACCCTAGCCACTTTTTCTTTCTTCTTCTCCTCTGCAATTGTTAACATGATATTAGAACTAGTTCGGATCGAGTAAGGGATTGTACCATAGAAACTGCTGTCGAAGACTTTGCTGCGGCCTTTGGCCTTATGTGCGATCTGCGATTCCAGATTCTTCGCATTCGTCCATACGCGATCTGCGATCCCAGTTCGTCACATTCATCCGCTCAATCGCAAACTGTGATCTCTCCAGCCTTCTGTGCGATCGAAACTTAAACTCCGCGAAACTCTGGCCTTCTGTGCAATCTCTACGATCTCGACGAAACCCTCCTTGTCTGCTACCAATCTTCGATTCCTCTCCCGCATTCGCTTCTGCCCGATTTCTAGATCGACGAAAAATCTAAGAAAGCATTTCAAAGGATTTCCGTCTCCCATCTTCCGTAGCTGATTTCTTGAGTTCTTTTACTGTCTCTCGCCTGATTTCTGCAATTTCCTCCGATATATGATATGATCTATCTGCACTCTCCTGCAATTATTCAGGTGATCCATTATTATTGGTATTTGATCATTCCTTGCATTCTTTTTTTATTGATAATAGTAGCAATGGCTGGTGAAAAAGATGACTCTTTTCAGTCTATTAGTGTGCAATAGAATGGACAAAATTACTCATATTGGAGTTATGCACTGAAGAATTTTTTAAAAGACAAAAGAATGTGGGGTTATGTTTCTGGAACCTCTGTTAAACCCATAGATGAAAAAGATGAAAAATATGAATAAAGGTTAGAAGTATGAAAAACAAACAATTCAAAAATAATCACTTGGATCAATAATTCGGTTTCACAATCAATCAGTGTCCAATTAGCAAAATATGAAACTGCCGAAGAAGTTTGGAATCATTTGGAAAGATTATATGTGCAGTCAAATTTTGCAAAACAATATCACAAAAAATTTTGCAAAACAATATCAATTAGAGATAGATATCTGTGCTCTTCAACAAAACAACATGAGCATCAAAGAATTTTATTCTGCCATGACTAACCTTTGGGATTAGTTATCTCTTACTGAAACTGTTGAATTACGAGCTTTTAAACCATATACTGATCGTAGAGAAGAACAACGTTTGGTTCAGTTTTTATGGCTTTTCGATATGATTTTAAACGGCTTTGTGGAACAATTTTACATCGCAATCCTCTTCCAACAGTTGACTCAGTGGTTAATGAGTTATTAGCTGAAGAGATTCGACTCAAGTCTCAATCAGAGAAAGGGATTCTCCTCACTCCTAATCCATCTGTATTTACAGCTACTCATAATAAAAGTAAATATCATAGAAATGTTGGTTTTGATGAATGTAGCTTTTATAAGCAAAAGGGTCATTAGAAAACTCAATGAACAAAGTTGTTGAACAAATCACAGCAGCAACAACAAATAAGCAAAAGGGTCATTAGAAAACTCAATGCACAAAGTTGTTGAACAAATCACAGCAGCAACAACAACTCAATCAAGTTCAAAAACTCCAACATTGAATGTTGCAGTTGTTGTTCCTCTGACAGACTCTTTAGGTGTTGGACATGTTCAAAACTCCAACATCGAATGTTGCAGTAGTTGTTCCTCTGACAGACTCTTTAGGTGTTGGACATGCATATTTTTCGGGTCATACAGTAGCTGCACTTGCTGAGCAGTTTCAAAAGTTTCTTGACATCCAACCACATGTCATGTTTGCCTCTCAAATATAGGTATGTCTTCCTCCAGCTCACCAGGTATATTTTCTTCCATTTGGATTCTTGACTCTGGATCCTCTCATCATATGTCATCTGATTTTACATTATTTGTATCCTTACGTCTTGCATCATGTGTATCAGTCATGACAGTTGATGGCACTCCTATGCCATTAACAGACATTGGGTCTATATGCACATCACAATTATCCCTTTCAAATGTCTACTATATCCCTAATCTTACTTTGAATCTTATTTCTGTTGGTCAATTGTGTGATTTTGGTTTCTCAGTTTTACTTTCTTCTACCTCTTGTTATGTGCAGGATCTGCAATCTAGGAGGTTGATTGGGACAGGTCGTAGGCAAGGGGAACTTTATATTTTGGATGAGTTAAAGAGTTCCAGATGTTGCGGCTTCCAGTGTTAACTTATCATCATTTCATTTGAGTTCATCATCTTCTAACTTTTATCTATGATACACTCGTCTTGCACATGTCTCTTCTTCTCGTCTAAAATACTTAGTTTCTACAGGATTTTTGGGCGAGCTAAAAACTCATGATATCTTTGAATGTTGTGGTTGTATGGTTGTACACTTGCTAAATTTTCTGCTTTACCCTTTTCTAAAAGTGTTTCACTTTCTGTTGCGCCTTTTAATTTGGTTCATTCTGATGTATGGGGTCCATCACCTATTTTTACCAAAGGTGGATCTAGATATTGTCTCATTCATTGATGACTATACTCGTTATTATTGGATATACCTTATGAAAAATCGTTCTAAATTTTTTAATGTTTATCATGTATTTCGTGCATTTGTTAAAACTCAACATAATGTTGTTATTAAGTGTTTTCAATGTGATCTAGAAAGTGAATATACCTCTACTAAATTCTTTGAATTTCTTGCCTCTGATGGGACTTTACTTTAAACTTCTTGTACTGACACTCCTGAATAAAATAGAGTTGCTAAAATGCTCGTTCTCTTCTTTTGTCTGGCTCTATTCCAAGTGAATTCTGAGGGGAAGCTATTCTTACTGTTGTCTATATTATTAAAAGAATTCCATCTTCTATTACTTCAGGTTTGTCTCCCTTTGAAAAATTATATGGTCACGCTCCTGATTATTCCGCTTTGAGAGTTTTTTGTTCTACTTGCTTTGTTCTTCTTCTTCATGTACAACGTAATAAATTATCTTCGCTTTCAGCAATATGTGTTTCAACAATATGTGTTTTTCTTGGTTATGGTGATGGTCATAAAGGATATCGTTGTTATGATCATGTCACTCAAAATTTTTTTGTCTCACGTCATGTTGTATTTCTTGAGCATATACCATTTTACTCCATTCCTCCTTCTCATAGTCTTTCAAAGTCTGGTCTTATATCAATTGATCCTTTTCATACAGATATTGATATTGCACCTCATCATGTGACTTATCATCCAAATAATTTTGATATTGAGCTTTGCAGGGTTGACATTGGTAGTTCTGTAGATCCTGTTGCTCCCCCTATCTCAACTATTCCCGAAAAACCTTCTGTGATTGTGGATCCTCCTCTTCCTCGTTACCCTCAACGTGATCGTAAGCTACTAAATTGCCAGATTTTGTTTACTCCACTTATTCTACTTCTTTTGCTTCCTTTTTAACTTTCATTCATAACTTGTCTGAGTCTTCCTCTTATCAAGAGGATGTTCTTGATCCTCTTTGGCAACAAGCTATGACAGAAGAACTTTTTGCTTTGAAAAAGACAAATACTTGGGACCTTGTCTCTCTTTCTCCAGGAAAACGTGCAATTGGTTCGCGTTGGGTGCATAAGATCAAAACCAAGTCTGATGGGTCAGTTGAGCGATATAAAGCTCGTTTTGTTGCCAAAGGACTTTTTCAACAGTATGGTCTGGATTATGAATAAACATTTGCTTCTGTTGCCAAAATGACTATTATTCGTACTCTTATTGCAGTAGAATCCATTCATCGGTGGTATATCTCTCAAATGGATGTGAAAAATGCATTCTTAAATGGTAATCTTCAAGAGGAAGTTTACATGGTGCCTCCACCAGGCATCTCTCATAATCATGGTGAAGTTTGTAAATTAAAGAAAACTCTCTACAGCCTTAAACAAGCTCCTCGAGCTTGGTTTGAAAAGTTCTCTATTGTGATTGCATCTCTTGGTTTTCATTCTAACTCACATGACACTGTCTTGTTTCTCAAGAGTATCTCTCATGGTCATATCATACTCTCTTTATATGTTGATGACAGGGGATGATAACAATAGAATTGCATAGTTGAAATTACAATTAGCTCAACAATTTGAGATGAAAGATTTGGGTGCTCTTCGATATTTTTTGGGGATTGAAGTAGCTCGTTCTCCTAGAGGTTATCTTCTTTCCCAATCTAAGTATATTAGCACCATCCTTGAACAAGCTCGTCTCTCTGATTCTCGAACAACTGCTACTCCTCTTGAGCTCAATGTTCATTATACCTCTTCTGATGGTGTTCCATTATCTGATCTCACCTTGTATCGTACACTTGTTGGCAGCCTGGTATATCTTACCATCACTAAACCTGATATTGCTTATGTTGTGCATGTTGTTAGTCAATTTGTTGCTTCTCCTACTACAGTTCATTGGGCAACTGTTCTTCGCATTCTTTGTTATCTTCGGAGCACTCAATTTCAGAGTATTCTCTTTCCTACATCTTATTTCTTGGAATTACGTGCCTACTCAGATGTTGATTGGGGTTGTGATTTCACCAGTCGCAAGTCTACCACAAGATTTTATATTTTTCTAGGAGATTCTCTTATTTCTTGGAAGAGTAAGAAGCAAGCAGTTGTCTCTCGCTCTTCTACCGAAGCTGAGTATCGTGCCATGACATCCACCACTGCAAAAATTATTTGGTTGTGCTGATTACTTCATGATATGAGTGTCACCCTCTCCAGCCCATCCTATGTACTGTGATAACAAGAGTGTTATTCAAATTGCCCGCAACTCGATCTTCCATGAACCCACCAAACATATTGAGATTGATTGTCATTTCACTCACCATCATTTTCAACATGGCACCATTAATTTACACTATATTTCATCCTCCATGCAACTTGCTGACGTGTTTACCAAATTGCATTCTACTCAACGCTTTTATTTTTTGACTAGCAAACTCGATCATTTCCCTTGATGTATCGTGAGTTTGAGGGGGGATGTTAGACATTATAGACGTCTATTATTTTACCCTACTTAAGGGTAGTTTTGTCTTCTTATATATATATATATATATATATCTTTTACTCTTGTAAGTTGTTCTTTGGTTAATGCAATTGAAACCCTAGCCACTTTTTCTTTCTTCTTCTCCTTTGCAATTGTTAACACTGTACGTACATATGAACAAACATGCAGGCAGATTTCACCACCCTGTAGAAAGGACGCCCAAGATGAACCAGTGAACTTGCAGTTATATTTATATGTCCACAAGATAGAAATATCTATGGTCAGATCAAAATCAATATATCCTAAAGCATAAGAATCAAGTAAAAAAAAAAAAGTAAATAAAATGCCAACATAATGTGTAATGAATAAGAATTGGTGTCTAACATATTCGGCAACTTTTGAACACAAAACTTCCATATTTCATGCAATCTTGACGTCATGCAACACACCTTGGAATCTTTCGTAAGAGAGAAGTGAATTAAACATCGACAAAGAATGTAAATACGATTTTACCTTTTAAAAACTAAATTAATGATATTTTCATGTAATATGAAAGATTTGTAATATAAATATAAAAATAAAAGTAAGTTGTGTTATTTATGTAAATATATAGAAATTGAGCGGTATATATTTTAATGCCCATACTTAATATAGAAGGGGCAGAGAACAAGACCTAGCCATGCAAAGTAGCCAAGAGTTGAAGCTAGGAAAAATGTTCAGCTAATGCTGTTAAATCTGGGTTGGGAAGTTGAGAGCAGCAAAAGGAATCAAAATCATGATGGAAATATGAACCAAAATGCCAACAACTGAAGCTTATACAAAAAGTTATATTTATATGTCCACATTCCAAAATGCCAACAACTGAAGCTTATACATGTATGTAAGCAGCAAAACGAATCAGAATCATGTTGGAAATAACATCCAAAATGCCAACAACTGAAGCTTATACATGTATGTATGTATGCATGCATGCATCGATGTGTGTGTGTGTGTGTGTGTGTGTGTGTGTGTGTGTGTGTGTGTCTGTGGCTGTTCTTATGCATTCTAGAAACATGCATCGATGTATGTATGTATGTGTGTGTGTGTGTGTGTGTGTGTGTGTG